TTTCGCACGGTCACAAAGTCATGGTTTACTAGGACACTATAACAGAACAGAGCCAGTATTAATGCTCTTAGTATCTGCACATTTTCCTGCTATGTCAAGTTCAAAGTCTGCTGTGAGGAGGATTGAGGCTAAAGTGACACAGACAAAGACAAAAGGTCATTTATCAAAGCGTTACTGAGAATCATCAAAAGTGAAAGGCGACTAAACTAAGGGGGAGAAAATAATATTACTTGATCAATATGGGACATTTAGGTCTCAAAGAAAAATGGTGGACCAGACAGTGGATCAGTCAGGATAAGTGCACATTATTAACATTGTTTATAGCTACATACAACAAACACTCCAAGTTGCCAAAGACAGTAAATTCCTTAACTGATCTGATAAACACTGAATTCTCTCACTATTATCAGGCATTTCCTTCAGGTGCAGCAGCTCAAATGCTTAATGAAAAGATGAAAAAGTCTTTAGGGAAAGTCTGTAAGTGCTATAAAAAAATACGTTTGCAATTTGGCTCTGCCTTGCGACACACGTGCATGCCCACATGGAGAATGAAGGGTAATAGGTTACTAAATGAATTCATTTAGTCTGCAATGTCTGTCTTGAATAGCCCCAAATCCTGATTCTTATCTCTGTGGGTCCAGAGGGTGGCAGGTTGGCGAGTCGATGGCAACCAACAGAGTGAAGCTTCATTGTGTCAATAAGAGCCATTTGTGGTGATTTAGACACCGGATTAGGTTTCCTCCTGCAGGCCTTCCTTTGGAGGTTTTCCAGGCACATCCTACTGGTAGACCCTGAACACACTAAAGAGACTACATACCTCATCACTTTGGTCAACTTTGGTTGTTTTAAAACGTGCGATATAAATAAATTTGATTTGATTTTAAATATTCTTCTGCGTTGTCCCCTTTTTTTCAGCAACAGCTCAGGAGATGAAACATCAAACATTTCAAGAATGAAGCTGCAGAGTTTCAGAAACTCAGCAACAGTAGTGGCGGGAACTACACAAGTAGGTCACTTCCTGTGACATTCAGACCCCAGTGGGTGTTCATGATTTGAGTGTTCTGTAAACTAATTTTACATCATTCAATCAAATTCCCCGAAGAAAGACATCAGCAACTAATAAGTAACAATAAAAATAATATATTGAGATATGTTTCATTCATTTATTTCATGTTTCTGTTTCTGTCAGGCTGAAACTGCTCTCTGCTGAAACATATTGCGAAACTGCATCAATGGATGAAGTACTCTTTAGAAGCTTAATGAGGGCCTCTACTGGGGAGACGAGTGAATGACGCCAGAGGCATGCTTCATCGAGTTCATGCACTCTTCACACGTGACCAAAAATGCAAAAGGGTAACATGGATAAAAGTTGTTACGTCAGAGTCACATGTTCAGAATATAGTTAAGAGCATAACTGTTAAACTACTAGGCTCAGAACCAACATGGATTCAGAAGAAAGACATGAGACTCCAAAACGACTTTATTCTGCATATGTGCCCAAGTATATAACAACATATCTCTCAGAAAATCTATGATAATAGAGAAAATCTGTGTAGGTGATCAGTCAAAGGACACAAATGTAAATAAAACAATGCTTCAAAAATGCAAGCTTAATTTAAAAACATTACAAATACTATTTTGAGTAAAGAATAAATGCCTTCCCACCTGTATTTAACTTTTTTTTTTTAATTAAGAGAAAAAAGTTTGAATTGAAAGAGGTGATGAGATGAGGTGATGATGACTAATGTTAAATACAGACGTGTTACATATTTGGGAGTATTATTATGGAATGGATTTAGTGATGATTTGAAATTGTGTAGGTCTCTGGTGAGGTTTTAAAAAACATTGAAAGGCAAAATACTTAAGAATTACAATGTAAAATGACTGATATGTGAAATGATTTAGGAAGAATAATTTAGAGTAAAACGTCTTTTCTTTTCTTTTCTTTTCTTTTCTTTTCTTTTCTTTTCTTTTCTTTTCTTTTCTTTTCTTTTGCATTACTGATGTTCTGGGTTATGTTATGGATTGCACAGGATAGGTAAAAATAAGCCTTGGCTTCAGCCTATTCCTTTTTTGGTTACAGAGCTTGTTAAATTTTTTTGTGAGAAAAAATGTTGACTGCAAACATGTATAATAATACTTTGTCAGCTGAATGCACACAGTTCAATTTTTGTACTGTAGATTGTAACCGAAATAAACCATTCATTTATTCATTCATTCATTCATAAAACAAATGGAAGACAATTACTGTGTGTGGTTCCACATGCAGAACAGCGTTGTTTTGGAGCCTTATGGCTTCCCTGTAATTGATGTTGATTTTGACCCATAATGCCACAGCCCTGCTCTACACCCTGGTCATGTGATCCATTTCTCTCTACATTAAAATCTAAACTTTAGAAGCACTTAATGTCTTCCCAACCATTTTTTCAAAGAGGTATATTTAAAAGAGGCAACATTACCCCTTTTAAAATCTCATTTATTGCAATTCTAGTCATGTTTTAATGACTGTATGAACTCAACTAATCATATATACAGAATATGTGCAGAAACATAAAATCAATATCCCAATAAAACTTGTACGTATTTTGTCTTTATTGTTACTCGCTAGTTGCTGACGTCTTGCTGCATGACATAAAATCCTAAAAGCACATATCCATTTACTGAACGCTCAAATTTCAAATACACTTTACTTTAGGCTTTTACAACTGTCACAGGAAATGACCTACTTGTATAGTTTCAATCACTACTGTTTGTGTCTGAACACGGCTTCTGAGGTGCCAAATGGACTTTTGTGGGTTCTTTGCAACCTTCCGAAAGTGACATTAACACCCACCTCATGTGCTGATTCGCTGCCTGTATAGAGCTCAGGAGTTAAACAGAGGTTGAAACTTTCATTATTAACACGATTTTTTTTGTTTGTTTGTTTGTTTGTTTTCACTTTCTATGGTGACATAATTTTGTACTTCACAAGACCTTTTCACCCTTCTTTCCAGTGTCGTCAACAGTGAGTAATAAACCAGGCTGTGGGAACTATGTGACTTTTTGGGGCAAGATAATCTTGCAGTTACAGTCAATGTCACAAAGTACAAGTTACAAGCTGAGCCTAATTTATTTATTTATATTTCCAGATATTCTCCCTAAAGACAAAGTTTTGACAAGAAAAGCAGGCCTTTCTTGTGGAGGCAGTAATTAGCTGATATCACGACCATGTTGCTTGATCTTTGTTAAACCTGCAGATCGTGAAGCCGAGAGTCTTTGACCAGGAGGTGGAGATCACTGCTCACAATAGAGAAACAGAGCGCTGTTTACAGCTGCTCTGTCAAAGCTGCTCTTCCACTGTTTGAACTGTTGAAGCGCTATGAGATGACTTGTTGTTGTAAATATGCGCTATACAAATAAAATTGAATTGAATTGAATTGAATTGAATTGAACTAAGGAGAGAGTTTACATTATTGGGTTTAGTGTAAACTAGGTGATGAATGTTAGATTTAAAGTCATTTTCTGTTTAATGATCTTTATGTTGATACATTTTTAATGCTGAGTTTATGAAAACCATAAAACAATTACAATCACTTTTAAGAAAGATAAGCATTTATTTCAAGGTAATAATATCAAAAAAATTGAAGTGTGGTAAAAAGTATCATTAACAACCACTTGTACAGAGTACAAGTAGGGCCTCGTGCTCAGCCCGTGGCACTAATAAGGAACTTCTTTAGTCTAGTACAGTAGAAATATACCACTGATTTACCATACAAAACAAATTCCATCTCTGACCAGTGGCGGGGTTTTTTCCACGCAGTAACACTGAACGTTTTCTGTGCAGTTTATTTAGTGCAATTAGGAACATAGAAACCCTCACTGTCATTAAAGGTTTGAATCTGTGATTCTGGGGACATATTGTTGATATTTAGGTTGTGCCAGATTTACAGTCCCTCCCACTCCCCATTCATAGAGCCAAGGCTGTGTAAGAGCACAGGATTTAAACATTTTTAGCGCAAACATATAGCAGACCTACACTCTGTAATGATTGTGCCACCATTTGTACTTTTTTTCCGTCCTTCATTAATTTTTTTTACTGTATTTACACTTTTTTTTCCTCTTATATTTTAATATGCAACACAATTCTACAAGTCCTCTCTTCATACTGCATATCTGTGGTTTTCACATGTACTCCTACAGCCATGGTCAGAAACAGGAAGTTTTGGTACTGGGAAATGTTCGTGCACAAGTTTTGATAAGTGTGGCATGACACATATAAGACATGTCTGCTACTTTCCCAGTAAAACCAGTTAAAACAATACTATAGAATTCCCTCCTCAGGTTACCTTCCTTTTCCTGGTTGTCACCTTACACTGAGTTGAGGTATCTGTAAGGACACGATTGCTTCACCCCTCAGTGGTTTTAATGTTATGGCTGGTTTCATTCCATATATTCAGAGTTTCATTATATATATTCAGAGTTTCATTCCATATATTCAGACTTTCATTCAATATATTCAGACTTTCATTATATATATTCAGAGTTTCATTCCATATATTCAGACTTTCATTATATATATTCAGAGTTTATATTCGGCCAGTTACCACTGTGAAGTAAAACATCCGATACCGTACTTTCGTCCAGTATCGGCCCGATACCGATACCCAGTATCGGATCGGCGCATCTCTACTAAATGCACTTCTCGTGTGGATTTTTGTGTCATTAAAAA